AGTGTTATATCAAAGTTGCTCGACGTGACGCTGCCTGAGGTGGGATAAAGAATATTCCACTGCTGGTTGTAAAGAAGCCTCTTTGATTTGAGGTTCTTCAGTAGGTTATGGATAAGACTAGACTGCAGTACCTCATGAAGACTTTCAGGTGGGTGAATGGAATCAAAGACATCTTTCAAAACTTTCGTTCCTACCACGACTAGTAGATTGCATAGCTTAATGTAATTGCTATTGCCATTCTCGTGACTTGATGGTGATATTTCAAAATCTGAATTAAAATAATTAATTTCAACTTAATGGATTTAAGGACGTTACTGGCGCTAGAAACACTGAAATGGCAGACAAAAGCTGTCACTATCGTTAACTCAATTGCAATCAAATCTTAGCATTTCCACAAAAGTTCAGAAATATGCCAATTTAACTTTTTTTAACTTTTTTGAGCGCCCTGTGACATCATGGTTTTAGGGGGTTATCAGAAGCTGAACGTTTCGAATAAATCTTTTCATGCAAAAGAAATCGATCCAGGTCACCATTGTACGCTTTTTAAGCCTTTCTTTATCATTTCTGAATATTAAATTTAAGATATTTGAGCAGCAGTGTACAGTCATTTTATCAATTCACAWTATAATTCTTTACCACTTACAGTAAAATGGTATTCCGCACACACAAAAAGTTAAMAACATCAGYAGGARAACAACAAMAACAGACAAAGAAACAAGCAAAAACAATAACACTATTGACGATTGTTTGCCTGATGATGATGTCTGMGAAGAAGTTGCGCGGAATAGTTATAACTGTTATTAATAATGCTGAAGCTCGAAAATATAACTATAAACAAGATGCAAATAACAACGATATAGTAAGACAAAAAGAAAAAGAAAGAAAAACTGATTAAAGAGCAAAAAATGATAAACATAATGGATCATAAGGGTTTACCTGAGGGTATACTATAGGCACTGTCAACCTGACTAATACCATATGGTCCTTGTTGGGTTCCGTMTAATACCTCTCCGCGATTAGGCGAGTTGATRTAAGATTTCTTCCACACATCCTTTGTTTCTGTTAAGATCAAGCAACAACTTAAAACACCTTACAAGATGGTCGGTTACTACTGGGTGATTGATTTTCGACCAGGCCTGCATATGAATTGGCCAAGGTTGTAAGCCAGTGAGCCCGTGCACTTTTGTTAAGCGGTCATATTTGAAAATGTAAATAAAGGAAAGGGAAAACCCGCAGCTCCCCTTTCACTCAGATAAACAGTACAAGTCGTGTTAATTTATACACACGTGTTTTTCAGATGGGAATTTAGTCGAACTTTTTTCGCGATGGAATTTTTTGTTTTGAGTCGTTTCGACATAAACAATCGCTATCAAGACATTACACGAAAAACCCCATTTACCGTTTTATCTCTCGTTGTAAAGTCAAAGCTAGTAAATGTGTAACCGACCTGTTACGTAACGTCAACCCGTTGTATCGTCGAGCATGCTTGAGGATTATTGCCGAAAATGCGACAAAGGATGAACTACGACAGTTGTTTGTACCAAAAATAACAAACGCTTTAACTCTATTAAATTWGTGTGGAGCTAAGCTGCTCTAGCTCTTTCAGTGATGTTGTAGATACCTCAAAGCYTAGAGGAAACAAGAGCTAAGAAAAAGGATTTGYAATGGTTCCTCCTAAGATACTTTGGACTTGAACGTCGCTTGAACGACCTTCTGAAGTCTTCATAAAGTTATATGTTTATCTCAGTATGCTGACCTCACCTTCTCGCCMAAGCAGATAAACTGTCATTTTGTTATCACCTTGATCTTTAAAGTAATATCCAACTACTTCATTGGAGCTCAAAAGGGGTCCATTTACCAACTTCTCAAAGGTCTTGTCGCTTATAACAAACAATTTATAATCTCCATTAAGTTCTAGTTCAATGTCCACAAATACGGTTAAGCCACCCCTCTCTTGTAGTCCTTTATGTATTCCAGCTTTGAGTGCGTGAAACCGAGAAGGAATTTTCTTACTGATGTCAKATAAAAACATCTTACATCTAAGGGTGTTTAGTTCTTTCTGAGAGGCTGGCAAAAATACATGACATCCATCGTCGTGTGGAATTATTATATTGTCAGATTCTGTCTCACAATATTTATCAWTCCCTTTTCTATAAGAGCAATGAACTCTGATTTCACCTTTAACTTCCTCAAGATGTTCTTTAAAACAAAAATATATAAAAAACKTCGATTTCTTGCGTACTTTTCTGTACTTGTCATCAGCATCAGTTAGCTTAAAAAACTCTTCATTAGCAGAGATAAAACAGCCATTTAATTTCGGTTGATTCTGACCTTCGTCCAGATGAAGGGTGATTGAAACAGCTCCGTCAGAACAAGGGGCCGTTATGCATGAGCATGCGCGCAACCGCTGCGTTATAACGACCATGGGCTCTAGAATACGGGTAGAATAACATTGTAGTCAGCTGCGGAAGCTTGGATTCTGAACATAATTGAAGTTTTTACTTATCTTCCACATTTTTCCAAACAAAACCAAGTAGATATATTTACAATGCACACGAATATCTTTCAAACATTATATAAATTACTGTGAGTCACGGGCTAGATTTATAACACGAAGCCACTTTGTACCGTTAAAATGTAGTGAATTATTTGTGCACACTTTTAGCAATAATAAATTCCTAAGATGTGAATCGATTGCACTGCAATAGTTTATTTCATAACTTATAATGATACAGCTATAGAACTACACATAGATATTTATGATAACTTGATTCAAACAAGCTCAACTCTTCAGCCAAAAGAGCGCTAAATCTGTCGTGAGTGCTCAACAGCACGTAAGAATTTGCAGAATTAACACCGTTCCACATTTTTCATAGACAAGAAAACATTATCAAACCATTTGCAAAGCATAAGTCTTGATATTGGTAGCCTTATTCTAATGAGTCCTGGTGGTATATAAAAGGAAAGTAGTATTTCATGTAACAGTTAATAATATTTAAGCGTAAATATTGTACACTTCAAGAAACTGTCTTTCGAACATTTCGAGGTCGATGTTACTAAACGATGCCTAATTATATTACTACATGTGTACATTTACCATTTACTTCATAACCTGCGTTGAATCTTGACCATCACTCAGCAAAAACTGGAATAGTAGTTGCGTATATAAACCACTGAAGCCTCCATATTGTAAACACAAAGTNCACCATTCACTTGACAGTGGCACTGGATTGAGTGAGACTTGACAACGAAGAATCTACAGAATAACAGTCTTAAATGACTTTATAAATTGATGAAACCTATGCTTGAAACAAGTATGATTCTGCTGAAAATGGATCTTTCAACGTTAAGGCGAGTTTGTTTTGGCATTCCTCACCAGTTTTAGTATATAGGGACGATAAAAAGACACTATAAAGTTGATCTATAGATTTTCTCTCAGTATTTTCAGAGAGCAACGCATTTTTCGAAAGTTCAAAAATCAAGTTAAAAAGATATGTAAGATATTTTTGTAGTTTTCTGTGATTTGAAGTTCGAGAGTAGGCCGCCGCATTAAAACATCGATCTTTTGCAGCGTTTAATCTGATTGATGATTGTATATGTAGACTATTTTTTCGGAGAGAAGTTTTCAGTTTACTTATCATTTTACATTTGTATATGTTATAATTATAATAACTTCGTCCAACTGAACAAAATCTATCCGCACAGTCAACGAATTCAGCGTACGAAATTCTCGTAAACGTACTCTTTTTTTGTATAACCTTTTTGAGCTAAGCTAAANGTGACACAAAACATTAAAATTCCAGGCCTTATAACACTAACAGTAAAAAAATATAACCGTAACAGTTATTTTGTTACGAAAACAATTGGACAACTAATACGAACATCGTCAATGTAAAACCGCTCCAAATTAATGAAATCTTAATCCATAATCATTCGGGGAAAACTATAAAAATGGAGAATTTAACATAAAGAAAACTTCTTCTCCAACATCACAAATGAAATTTCAATCGAAATATATCAATACTGTCAATGTAATCGATTAGCAAAAGATTTACATGATACATTTTAAATGTGTACTCGATACAAAAACACGTGAATTTCAATTCAAAATCCTACACAGAATTATTTTTACAAAACAACTACTCTTCAAAATAGGAAAAAGCGATTCCACTTTGTGTTCCTTCTGTAGTTCTCAGGAAGAGACTATTGAGCATTTATTTTATTCGTGTCCTGAAGTCCAGCTTTTTTGGTTAGCAGTAAAAGAAAAATTGTTTAAAGAATTCGAAATTCACTATATTGATTTTAAAGAGTTGGACTAATAACAGAGGAAATTAAAGATTATATTTTGATAAATCACTTATTAATTTTAGCGAAATATTGCATATATCAAAATAGTTTTAAAAAATCCAAATTATATTTAGCCATTTTCTTGCATAAAGTTTAAAAAAATAATATATCAAATTGAACTCAGGATAGCTAAAGAAAAAGAAAAACTCGATTTTCACTACTTCAAATGGAACAAACTCCTAGATTTTATGGGATTTTAGTTAATTTAATTTCAGTATAAATCTTTGTCTATGCTTGTTTTTGTTGTTGTTGTTGTTGTTGTTGTTGTTGTTGTATCTTTCTTCTTTTTTCGTTTACCATAATGTAATGTAATATTATTGTAAATAAGTATTTGAAAAAAAAAGTCAACAAAGTTATCCCGAGGAAAACCAGATGATTAGAAGTATTAAGCGAAGAACATCAAGAACTACTGTCCAAATAAGTGAGGACGGATCGCCAAACATACTTCTTTCACAATATTAACTCCTGACGGAGTACATTGCTTGTTTTATTATTTTTCACTAAAGGAAATACTTTTCTGCTTTAGCCTTAGTAACATTAACTTTATTAGGGTTCAATATCACTTACTGATTGTTGAAGCCCATGAAAACGATCGCTGATCGTCTAGTTGTTCTAAAATGAATAGGATATCAAAGTTAGAGTTTGGTCATCTCGTGGCTAAATAAAATCTTCTGCTTTTCAGTCCGTCTGTTGGTAACCTAGCCTACAATGTATAATGTTGTGTTGAACATAACGATTATGATACCAGTAGTAGTACTTTGGTAGTACTTGTTATGTAGCTAATTAGAGTCATCTTTGGTCTGGGTAAAATCGCTAAAAACGATACCCAGTTCCAGAGTCAAATCGCTGAAAACGATACCCTGGTTGGCGGCACGTCCCCGTATAGCGAATATAGGGGAGTAACACCCCCCCCCCCCCCCCCCCCGGGATTACACTATACAATTCATTTCCAGTAACTTCTGTCGAAACGGAGTAACCCCTAAAAACCAAAAAAAAAAAATCCAAAGAAACATTACATATTGAGTGCTTACAAATCAMGGGCTATATGGATTATGTATCTAGATTTTTTACCTCCAAAGGTTTCGAATTAAGATTATAATTAAGACTTTTTGGTTTTGAGATTACCAATACGTACGGCGTTGAAATCAACAACGCGTCACATGATGCATCAAGGTATCAAATTCTCGAAGGGAAAACCGAACCAAACCTTCTGCTTCACACTCGTTCTGATGGTCCGTGGCTTGAAGTAAATATTGTCSTCTTTCACATGAATCAAATGATGTATACACGTTATAAATTAGAGGTTGAAGCTCGAAAGGAATCAAACAACACACAAACAAACTTCCTTGACCTTAATTATGCAAATGAGTTCGTAGAACTGCTTGGTGTATGATGTCATTGATATCTCATGTATCGTTTGTGTCCGTCCACAGGCAACCCAATCAACAAAAGTTGAATTCGATGGGTAGTTAGAGCTATACAGCTAAAGTGCCGCTGCTTCTACTAATCGACTTAAAATCATGCCCGTGTTACAAATAGAAGCCATGACAACAAGACCACAAGCGGAACATTTGAACTTTACAGTGAATATATGGARCTCAAACAAAATGTTTTATCTTATGTGTTGTTGATGTTATTTAACATTGCTGTGTGTGGTTTTGAAGGGATTTAGAGATATTTAAAAAAATCACCATCWATAGTAAACGACTACTTGCTGCTTACAGAGCTTTCACACCATGTCACTCGTCTTTGATGGCAGAAAGGAATATGTTAAAAAATGCCCTCGGCGGCATGTCTGTAAGATCCTTCYATCCAGAATTGTGCAATCTTTCAACGGATTTCAATGCAACCGTACCAAATCGTCTAGTTGTTAATAGTTTTCAAAGAAAATTTTCCTATCCCAACACATATTCTGCAGTTTGGGTGATAAATCAAAGGCTGAACTAAAATATCAGCTTGCGGGATATATAGATGTATTTGTATATCTTAATCAGGGTAGTATTTCATCAAATGACTGTTTGTAAGTTTATATGATTTCATTCTGATCATGAACCATTGATGGACTTCTTTTGTTGCCAATGCTTGGATTGATCGAAATGCAAATTAAGTACAAAGACTTATTTTATGATAAAAGAATCAAAAGAATGTTTCGCCTTTTACATAAACCATATGATCGCGAAAACCCGTGGACATAAGCATAGAGAGAACTCAAACTTAATAGAATYGAACTCACTGAAAGACATGCGTTTCAGAAGCGAAAACAATTGCAAAAAGAGAATATTCARAGTGGGGCAAGTCTTTGCCCCCCACCGTCAATAAAGTTCCCTCGGCTTCAGTAGAAGTGATGTCGAATAACAAACAATTACTTGCAGGCACTTTCCAAATTTCCTGATTTGAGATGTCATAAAGTTGTTCATAATGGTTTTGTGACGTTTTCTCAAGTCCAAGACTTTATGTTGAGAGATGTTAATACTGTGATGTTTGTTGATACAATAGAGTATTAGTATTAGCTTACCTACCAAACATCCTCCTCCTTGTGATCACTGAGTTTTTCTAATTTATATTGCTCATGGCATTACAGACTGGAATATATCCTCTTCATATGTATTGAGTAGAAGAAGCGTCTTTACAAATAGTTTTGAAAAGTTTACTGTTGCGTGATGTATCCTTTGTGAAAATGATTTGAGTTAAGATTGTTTTGACTGGTCCCAGTACTTTCGCATCTCGTTCACGTTTGAACGCATAAATCAAGAAAATAGGATGATGACATTCGTAGTGTTTTTTCTGCTTGTTTCTTCTTTTTTTTTTTATTTTTACTTCTTTTTCCTGAAGTAATCTTCGCTGAGATATATGTTTTCACGTAAGGGATAAGAGGGTCTGGATGCAGGTGACACAAAACATTAAAATTCNAGTGGGGCAAGTCTTTGCCCCCCACCGTCAATAAAGTTCCCTCGGCTTCAGTAGAAGTGATGTCGAATAACAAACAATTACTTGCAGGCACTTTCCAAATTTCCTGATTTGAGATGTCATAAAGTTGTTCATAATGGTTTTGTGACGTTTTCTCAAGTCCAAGACTTTATGTTGAGAGATGTTAATACTGTGATGTTTGTTGA